AGCTACAGATGCCTACGCATACCCATACACAAATGTTTTTAGGTTAGAGTGAGAAGGGATCTTAGAAACCAAGTCCAATACCCTCATTTTACAGATGAAGGAATCAGAGGAGGGTACGAAATGACCTTTCTAAAATTACGGTTACATCTATCATAGGATCACAAGGAAGAGGGGACCTAAGAAATCATATAATTTACAGGTGAGGATACTGGGCCCAGAGATTCATAGTAAATTTCCCAGGTCACACAGCAAATAGAGAATGTCAGATTAGACCTCAGCTTCTCTGACTCTTACTCCTTCAGTTACACCATTATACCCATCTTCATGTCCCTCTGTAGAGAGGCAATGTAGCACAGCCAACTGAATACTGGATTTGGAGTCTAGAAGACCTGGGCTCCAGTCTCACTTGACACTAGCTCTGTGACTCTGGGCAAGGGATTTAAGCTCTCTGAATCTCAGGCCACTCTGAGTCTTAGCTAAGTAAAAAATGGCTATAATTTATGTGAGTAGAGAGACTGGAAGAAATTACAGACCCTTAATGTATTGCTGTTTGCAGTTATCTAGGTATAAAGATAATTAATAATAATAATAACTTACATTTATACAGTGCTCTTAGGCTTGCGAACAAAGCACTTTCCTCACAACAAACCTGTGAGGTAGGAAGTACAAGCATCATTTCCGTCATTTCACAGATAAGAGAACTAAGATTAAATAACTTGGCAAGAAATAAATATACCAATGATTTGAGTCTCTATATAGCATAATCAGATTTTTTTCAAAAAACATTTTCATCATGTTTTTCCTCTTCTCAAAAACCTTAACTGCTGCCCTAGTACCTTCAAGATAAAGTCCAAATTGCTTAGTCGAGAATTAGAACTCTGCTACAATAATGTCTCTATCTTTCTAATCTTATCACACACTACAAGTAGTCCTACATGAACAATTTGCTCTGCAAAATTTTCTGCGTTCTTCCTACTTTCTTACTTCCATGCCTTTTATCATGTGGTTTCACAGGTTTAGAGCTGGAACTACAGAAATTGTCTAGTCTAACCCCGTCATTTTGTAGATATGGAAACTGAGGTCAAAGGGATTAAGTGACTTGCCTGAGGTCACAAAGGTATTAAGTAACAGGTCCTCTGACTCTAAACCCAGAATTTTTTCCATTGCTTGTATAAATGCTGGCCATTCCTTTCTGACTATCCAAATTCTCCCTGTCCATTCAGAATAAAGCTAGGGTGTATTACCAGATCCCAGAGATCTTTCTCCCACCTTCTTTCTCTACAATAGTTTTTCTATACTGCTACTACAGAAACGATTGAACATGAAAATGAATCATGTACTGCCTTGGGCCATTTCTTGAACTTGTATTGTTTTTTAAAACTTTTAGTGCTTTTTTTGGGGGGGGGGGGGCAGACAATGGGGTTAAGTGACTTGCCCAGTGTTATACAGCTAGTAAGTGTCAAGTATCTAAGGTCAGATGTGAACTCAGGTCCTCCTGACTCCAAGGCCGGAGCTCTATCCACTGCGCCACCTAGCTGCCCCCAACTTTTAGTGCTTTTAACCCTTCCTGCCTTAATTCTAAGTTCCTCAAGGGCTAGGCCAGTGTTCCATGTCTAGAATTTTAGGACCCTCAGAACACAGCTTAAAGAATAAGAATAATAACTGAGATGCAAAGGGACTTAAAACATTTAATAATTCAATGCAAGAACTGGAAGAAACTTCATAACATGGATAGTGGAATGTTGATGATACACTAGAGCTCAGCTATCATTTCCAGCTGAATCCCTTAATTTTACAGAGGAGGAAATGGGCCCAGAGACTACAAATGATGCACCTAAAGGCACACGGTGGGCTAGCGGAGGAGCCCCAAGCTCCTTCCGACCTCATCTAGTCCAATGCCTTTGGCACTGCTTTGTCCCTTAGCAATGCTTTAATGCACAACATGCTCACTTCATTTTTCATTTGATTAGGCAACTAGATGTAACCCTAGGCACTGAAGACATTGAAATGAGAGGGGTTACATGACAGATACATTTCAGGAGGTATATACAAAGCAAGCCCTACTTAGCTGAAGGGTGACCCCCACTTACCTGGTTTTTCTTGAGGCCAACCCTGCATGAAGGCTAATATCACAAATGACAGTTCGTGGCCAACCAGCAAGAACTGCATTTCTTTTAGTTCAAAATAATTTGTTAAAGTCATATATAATTCTCAAGGAAAAAAATGAAAAAATAAAATAAAATAAAAAGCAGGCATGAAGGAGACCTAGAATGATCAGATTTCAAATTATATTATAAAATGGTAATCACCAAAATTATTTGGTACTGGTTAAAAAATTAGAAAAGAAAATCAGTGGAACCAATTAAATAGACAAACATCAAAAAGGAAGTAAATACAGTCACCCAGGGTTTGATAAACCCTTGACTACAACAATGTAAATGGAAAGAACAACAACAAAAAAAATAATCAAAACTGATGTATCAAAATAAAAATCAAAATAGGTTCATGCTTTAGATATAAAGGCTGATACCATAAGCAAACTGGGAGAACAAGGAATAGTTTACCTGTCAGATTTATGGAAAACAGAAGAACTCATGACCAAACAGAAGATAGAGAACACTATGAAATGCAAAATGAATAATTTTGATTACATTAAATTGAAAAGTTTTTGCACAAACAAAGCCAATGCAACCAAGATTAGGAGGGAAGTAGAAAACTGGCAAAGAATTTTTACTACCGGTGTCTCTTATAAGGGTCTCATTTCTAAAATATACAGAGAATTAAGTCAAATTTATAAGAATACAAGTCACTCCCCAATTGTAAATGGTCAAAGGATATGAACAGGCAGTTCTCAGATGAAGAAATTAAAGCCATCTATAGTCATATGAAAAAAATGCTCTAAATCACTATTGATTAGAGAAATGCAAATTAAAACAACTCTGAGGTACCACATCATACCTATCAGATTGGCCAACATGACAAAACAGGAAAATGATAAATGTTGGAGAAGATGTGGGAAAAGTGGAACACTAATGCATTGTTGGTATTGTGAGCTGATAACAACCATTTTGGAGAGCAATTTGGAACTATGCCCAAAGGGCTATAAAAATGGGCATACCCTTTGACCCAGCAATAGCACTTCTAGGGCGGTATCCCAAAGAGATCATAAAAATGGGAAAAGGACCCACATGTACAAAAATATGTATTGCAGCTCTTTTTGTGGTGTCAAAGAATTCTTTGGAATTCAAGTGGAAATTGAGGGGATGCCCATCAATTGGGGAATGGTTGAACAAGTTGTGATATATGAATGTAATGGAATACTATTGTTCTATAAGAAATGATGAGAAGGTGGACTTTAGGAAAACCTGGGAAGACTTGTATGGAATAATTGTTGATAAATCAAAATAAATTAATTAATTAAAAAAAGGAAAAAAATAATCAAAACTTGAATGCCTTGAAATTAAATGATTAAAAGGAGAAATATGAGAAAGAACCTCCCCGTACTTCTTTGAGAAAGTGGGGAAATATGGGTGTGGAACTGCATAAAATATCTGATTTTTCCAATATATTGGTTAGTTTTGCTGAGTTTTTTTTCCTGTTTTATAATTTGTTACAAGGGATAGACACATTAGGAAATGCAGTTACTATAAAAACAAAAGATATCGATACAAAGTTATTTTTGGAAAGCCAAACCAGGCGCTGTGCTAAGTGCTTTACAATTTGGGCAGTTGGTCTGGTGAAGCCTCCCCAAAATGAGGTTTGTAAAGGTATAAAATAAAATACACAAGGTTACAAAGGAAATGATCATGAAGTGCAGTTAATGGTTATCTTAAAAAAATTGTAAAAGTGCTACAGAAGAACCTGAAACCCTTGAGACGTCTAAAAAGTAGAAATCTAATGTAATTCATCATAGCATGGACCAGCAAACAAGTCAATGGATGGGGGATAAAATACGTACTGTAACAGAAGGACAACAATGAGGTAAGCTACTGTTCAAACACCAGAGCCCACATCTGAGCACCTGCCATCACTATTACCATGCTGCTATCACTGCTCTGCCACTCTGACTACTTACCTAACTCATGAGATAGAACTGAACAAACTCGTGACACACAAAATGTGAGTGGATGCCTACCTTAACCTTTTACAGATGAGAAAACTGAGACCCAGAAGGAAGGACTCAAGGACACACTGCAAGGACTAGACCTCCAAGGTTTGTGTTAGCACACCATGCCATGGCTCAATACATCAGCAGGAGATAATAAGAAATCTTTAACTACTGGAGAATCTCACTCAAGGAAGCTAAATAGAGAGCATAGGTCTTTTTGGTAATGAACCTATTTTTTATTTCCCTGAAATGAGAAAATAGAAGGGGAGTCTGGGTGTGAATGGAAAGGGAGATTTGGCTTAGCCTTCCTGCCATACTTGACATTTTATTTTAAATTACTGATTTAACTGGGCAGAAGGAGGATGGTTGGGATGACGTTAGCAGCTGCCAAGTGGGTATAACCCCTCACTACCTGAAATTTCTGTGACTCATAGGGAATAGGTCATGTTAATGGCGACCAGTCCCAAACTGACCTGGTTACTTGAATAAGAAACCAGCTGGACCCCGGCAGCACAAGCATGTTAAAAACAGAAGAACACAGAGACAATCAGAGATCAATATTGCTCTGTCCTCCAACATACTCCCTTTCATTGCTTCCCCTACCACAACTCTGCTTTAGCTCCAGGAACTTCATGAAGTGAAGTCTACATGTTTTTTCCAACTTCTCTAAGAGAAGCACCAGCCTTGGAATGAACTGACTACAAAGATCACAGTCTCAAGTCTTGTTGCCTCAGGAACTCGGTACTCTACAGTCCTGGAAATAAGTGCCCTGGACAGACAGCACTGTCAATGCTTGCAGAAGTGGCAAGTGGAAAGAGAAGGCAGGAGAGAGCAAAAGTTTCTTTTCCTAGTTTCTTATTTCTTAGATAGGAGCCGCATGACCACAACTCACCAACATTGGTCGGGAAGATGTCTTCATTGTTGATCTGAACCTCAATCCAGTCCATCAAAAGATTCATATATTTGGGTGCTGACAGAGCAGTCGGCTTCCGGTATTTCTGTTCATCCTGCCATCGATACTCATACTTAGGGCCCCCAGACATCACTGGACACGACTGCTCGGTGCAGTTATCACTGATGGTTCCATAAATGAGGTTGATGCGATTGAAGAAGTCTACTACATGCACAGCCACCCAATCATTTAGTTCCTCATCAGATGGCAACTGGACAGCTAACTTCAGATCCAGCCCTGCATTCAGGGAAGCTTGAGCCTTCTTGTGAAGTTCAAATCTCTGTGTGCCTGGCTCAAATTTGCGCTTAGGCCGAAAGGTTTTGTCCTTGTTGAAAACCTGCTTTAAGAAGGGGTTGGACATTTTCCCCCCTTCTGCTATGGCTTTGTTCTCTCTTTACAATTCTTCAAAGAAAAAGCACGATGCCTGTTGACTTGAAAGAGGACTCTGAAAATTCACTGGGACCCGTGGAGATCTGTAATACAAAATTAAATAATACGTATGTTCAAGTTAGGGATCTCTCCCTTGGCATTAGCTCTCCACTGTCAAAGCAGAAGTTAGCTGAACTTCCTCAATAAAGAGTATTGCCAGTTTTTAATACAGAAATTCCAAATCCATACAATATGGTCCAAGTTCCCTGGCTCCCCAGTGACACACCCTATTGCTCAGCAGAAAACCTGCAGATTGGAACTGTGGTCATGAGGGAAACCATGGGTCCTTAAAATTTAACCTTAATTTTTCTTTTCTTTTCAAAGACGTTCCAAGGGTCTGGTCAAATGGAGAGAGGTTTATCTACTTTATCCTTGGCCATAATTTCCTTTCCACAAATCAGAGAATTTGAAAGTTGGAAGGAACCTCAGTCATCATCTAGTCCAACTCCTACATAAAAGGAATCCCAACTATAACATACTCAACAAGAGGTCATTCAGCTTCTGCTTGAAGAACTCCTAGGAGGGAGAACTCATCACTTGTCTAGGTATTCCATTCCACTTTTGACTGAATCTTCAGAAAGAATTGTTAGGCATTTCCTGATGTTACACCTAAATTTGCCCCCTGACAACTTCCACTCTGGGGTCAAACAGAACAAGCCTCGTTCCATGTCCACATGACAGCCCTTCCAATACTTGTCCCCTCTGAGTCTTCTCAAGACTCCTGTATCATCCCAGTTACCTTCCTCCAGATGGGCTATTTATTAGCTGTCCTCAAACCCTGGCACTCAGAACTGAGCATGGTGCTCCTGAGGAGGTCTGATGAGGTAAGATCACATGGGGGCTACCACTACCCTATTTCTGGAGGTTTTGTCCCTCTTAATGCAGTCCAGGATCACATGATTTTTTTCTGCTACCACATTATACTGCTTGACCTTAAAATCCATTAAGACATTCCCATTTTTTTCAGAACTGTCTCTCCATGTATCCCCCATTTTATACTTATGAAGTTAATTTGTTTGGACCCAAGTCCAAATCTTTATATATTTATTCCTTATAAGATAGCTCTATAGCCTGTCAAGATCTTTCTATATCCTGACTCTGTCATCTACTGTGTTATTATTCCTCCCAGCTCTGAGTCATCTGCAAATTTGATGAGCATGCCTTCCAAGCATTCCACCATAGCTCTTTGGTATGCCTGAACAAAGGCTGACTTTCTATGTAAGGATGGCAGTTTTTCCTTAAAAACATTTTAAATTATAAAATGAATAACTGTACATAAAAAATCAAACAAAGATAAGGAGTAAAATCCTACACAACACCTATATATCATTTTCATGAGTTTGAGAAATATCATACAACCTCAACTTGGAGCCTCCTGATTTTGTTCCAACTCAGAGGCAAGGCTGAAATTTAAAACCTCATGGACTATTACAGAGGGAAAGAACCCTGAAGATCATTTTATTCAAGCCACTCCTTTTAGAAATGAAGAAACTGAGCCAAAGAAAGGAAAAGGGATTTCCCCAGCGTCACTCAGAAAATGAAAGCCAGAAACCAAACCTGTCTTCTGCCCCCAAATTCAGTATAACTTCCAATACAGTCTCAACACCTCTCTCCCTCTTTCAGCAGTATAGAAGAAAGGATGGGCTAGGCAATAATCCAAGTGAATCATAGGACTTCAGAGCTAGAAGGAGTCTTAGAGATTCCCCCCACCCAATTTTCTCTTTTAAAAGCTGAGGAAACTGAGGAACAATGATATTATATCTGTATTATGTTAGTTGAAGAATGGCAAATGTGACATCAAATATGGCAAAACAAGGCCCAACTCAAGAAGTATAATGACTAATAATCAACACTATAATCCAGTTTGAGGTTTAAAAGTCCTGCAAATAGGACAAAACAAGTGTACTTGAGACATAAGTGTATATCGTTACTAAGCCCATAACAACAACAAAAAGATTTTGAAAAAGTAGCAAGCTTTTGCAAAGGTAAACAGTTAGCATCTACATTCCTCTGCATTTCAATGTATGGTTAGTGAGAAACAAGTCATAACTTTACCACATCCTGTACCCCAAAGTCCTTAATTATCTTTATCCAAGCAGCACAGAAAATGGCATAAAACAAGCCTCAGAGGCTTTCCTGTGTCTAAGTTGCTGTTCATGGTTTAGACAAAGACTCACTCTAGTACCGAGCAGTTGCCAAGCTGATTTTCTTGAGCGTAGATACAAGAGAATGGGAAGAGGAGGGCCTAGCTGATTGTCCCAGGGTACCTTTCCTTCAAGAAGATGCAAACTGAGGTTCTATCAAAACCCAACCTTTCAAAGTCCAGAGTCAAAAAAGGGAAATGCCAAGTTAGAAGATCTGTACTCAGAAAATTTATTTATTCATTTAATAATTAGTTGAATGTTTACTATAAGCATAGCAATGTGAGAGATATGACACAATATTGGCCCATAAGGCACTTACAATCTAGCTGGGGAGACAAGAGAGACACAGGTGAACTGGCTAAATATACAAGGAACTATATGATTAAATAACAAATGACTGGCATTGACCGTATAGGGTACAGATTTCCAGAGGGAGGAAAGGAAAAGGTTAAAACAGTTGAGTCAAAGGGAACGGTATAAGCATCAGGACTCATACACAAATGCACAACTATTCTGGGGTACAGTAAAGAGACAAGTCTATGGTGACTAAGGGGTTTGCACAGTTATGAGAGGTAAGGGACAAATGTTGTTTGGTCATTTCAGTTGTGTCTCACTCTTCATGACTCCATTTGGAGTATTTTTGGCAAAGACACTGGAGCTATTCCTTCTCTACCTCATTTTACAGATGAGGAACTAAGGCGAACATGGTCAAGTGACTTGCCCAGTGTCACACAGCTAGCGTCTGAGGCTAGATTTCTACTCAGGAAGATCGGTCTTCCTAATTACAAGCCCAGTGCTCTATCTACTGTGCCATCTAGCTTCAGGGACAAACGTAGGCTGGTGCAAAACTATAGATGCCCCTGAATCCCTAAATGGGGATTTTGGACTTTATCTTCTAAGCAATGAGGCACCAGTAAAGTTTTCTTAATAGTAAAGTGGCATGATTAAGGTGGCATTTTAGGAAGATTATTCTGGCAGTGGTATGGAGAATGATTGGAAAAGAGAAAAAAACTATTCTTTGACTCCAACATCCTAGATTTTGTTGTCTGCAAATCTGCAACACTCCATTCCATTAATTCTTAATTCCTGTATTTGGCATGTTAACAGAGCCCTACCCAGGAATGAAATAAAAGAGAATGTCTCTTACCAGGACAGGCTTCAAGTCCGAACCCTTAAACTGAAGGTATAGTTTTTCTGTCAACTGTTCATCTCCATCAATGACTCCCTCCTCATCTGTTAGCTATTTTCCATTTTTAAAATCCACTTAAGTACTACTCTAATACCTAATCATAGTGTGGAGATAATATTGGATTCAAAGGATCATAAAATTTAGAACCAGAAGGGACAACATTAGAAACAGGTGGCACAGTGGATAGAGCACAGGCCTATCCTGACAGGAGACAGGAAGACCTAAGTTCAAATTGAACCTCAGACACTTACTACCTGTGTGACTCTAGGCAAATCACCTGTCTGCCTCAGTTTATTAACATTTTCTCTATAACTTTCTTAAGTCCAGACAATCAATACAACAATAAATCAAGTCCTGGTTTGCAGTGTTTGTGGGTTTCACTGAAAATCTAATAATCTGTTCACTAGTTAGAGCTGTTTCCAGCACATCCCTGCTTTTCAGGAACTGGAAATACATACACTCATTGGGATGTAAAGAAGGTCAGGAAGTCTGTTCCATTATCTTAACTTCAGACCAGACCCTTCCCTAACCATCCCTGAAAGATGAAGAGACACCCTGCAGGGTAGCTAGGTGGCTCAGGGGATACAGTACTGGGCCTGGAGTCAGGAAGACCTGAGTTCAAATTTGGCTTCAGACACTTACTACATGTATGACTCTGGGAAAGTTATTTAACTTCTGCCTGCCTTAGTTTCCCCAACTGTAAAATGGGGATAATAATAGCACCTACATTCCCAAGGTTGTTTAAGGATCAAATGAGGATAATTGTAAAGCACTTAAACTCAGGCTTTCCTGAGTGTCAGTGTCTAACAAGTAGTAGGTGCTTAAGAAGAGTTGGTTTCCTTCCTTTGAGTTCAACTACTCCAATCCTTTCCTCTTACACATAAACAAAATGAGATACAAAGAGGCTAAGAGATCTAGTACTCTAGCATAAGATTAACCTTTATGTCTTTGGCAGCATGGTGAATCCTATGGACCCCCTCTGAGAATAATGTTTTTAAATGCATAAAAATAAAACACATAATATAATACAGGAAATCACTTATATGGAAATACATTTATCAAAATATTTAACAAATTCATAGGTCCCAGGTTAAGAACCTCTGTTCCAATAAATCTATGATCTTGAATAGATCCTCTAATGAAGCAGACTGAAACCTTACCTGCCCATTCTGTATATCCTGAGCATGACCATAAGCATAAGATCATGGGTGGGATGGGGGAGAGAGTGTCACCTGATGTGCTGAGCCTTCACCCTGTGCTCTTGACTGACACAACTGTGGATACCGACGGAGGTTTCAGTAATCCTGATATAATTTTTTATAGAATGGGGCTAGTCTGCTGTATTTATTCTCAGTTACTTGTTTATATATTTTTAAAATCTGAGTTTGTCCATAAGTTTCTTATGCATCCAGATCAGTCTCTTCAGGATATGTTGGTGTAGCCAAATGTTGTTGAACTCAGGAGTCAGGGAAGCCTGTGTTCAAATCCCACATTAGACACCTGGACATAGTAATGATAATTACAAAAACAACTAGAATTTTATATAGAACTTTAAAGTTTGCAAAGCATTTTACAAACATGATCTCATTTTATATTCACAAGTATCTGAAAACAGACTTGAACTCAGGTCTTCTTGATTCCAGGTGCAGAGTCTCATACACTGTGCCACCCAGCTACCTAAGTCACTTGAACTTCTCTCAGCCTCAGTTTT